AACCCGGAGATTCTCAAGAGCACCAAAATCGCTGAGGCTTTCCGGAGGGCTTTTTAGACCCTGAAAAAAATAAGAAGATATTTTAGGTACGCTAAAGTAACAGAAGCACTTAGATAAAGAGAATATTAACTGTGCTAAAGAACTTTAAAGGGATAAAACATACCTAATGAAATAGAAATGACCACTTTAGAAATAGACATTTTCCTGCTTCAAAATATAGAAAATATATATTCTAGAAAAAAATCATGACTTAATACATACAGTACTAATAAAAACTCAACCAAGAATGCAGTTTTACTATTTTAACATGGCACCATCACAACTAATGGTAGACGAGTAACTTAACTCTGTTAAAAATGGCCAAAAGAAAAATAAATAAATAAATAAAAAAGAAAGAAAGAAATGGCCAAAAGAAAGGAAACGTGTTCTATAAAAATACTTAACTATTAATCATTAGTAAATTCAAGTAGAAAAAAGATCCAAGCAATAGTATTACAATTCACAAGTATAATTTACCAAACAACTGAAAAATCAAAAATGTTTTAAATAATGCAAATATCTTAATACATATACAATCCCTTCCTTTTCCTTGATTATTTGTCAGGAATGCATCCAACTTACGCCGCCTAAGTTAAGATCTAAATCCCACATCTCACTGTTTTCTTTCTGCTCTTTTGTGGCTTTCTGGTATACTGTGCATTCCATACACATATAAGCTAAAGAATTCTGAAGGCCTTGTGTGTTTTTAAAATAAGCAACACAAAGTGGTAACATTAGTCTTTAGGAAAAATGAGTATATTAATTTGAGAAGAGATATCTCATCTAGTTGAACTGTCCTTTAGGTGTCTTGTATTGGCCTGCTGGAGTCATTAGTACCAAAACACATAGTACGCTTATATTGATTTTATTTAAGATTTAGAACTGTACTTGCATATTTTTAAGTTATAAAGATGTGCATCTTTATTATAAAATATCACTAGTCAAATCTACAAATGTTTACGCTAAATCCTGGCTCACCCCAAGTCTTCCATTATACCTAGAATATCCAACCCACCCACCTTGACTTTTCACGCTGTCTCGCTCTCTCTTTCCCCACAATTCCAACCCCCCCACACACACACAACGAAATAAAAAATCAACAGGTCACCTTTAGGGTTATCTCCTCTATGAAGCCTTCCTTAAACCCTACGCTTCAAACAGCACATAATTTCTCAGTACAGGCCAACCATCCTATCTATCAGCATCACCCAGAAAACTTCTTAATGATTCTGAGGTTCTAACACAGAGCTAATGTTAGGTATTTCTGGGTTTGGAGTGGGAATTTTCCTTTTTACTGGCAAGCAGGTGACTGAAGTTTTGGAAACACAGCTAGACATTCCAGGACAATTACCTCAGCCAAAACAGTGAAGTTTTGAATTCTAAGCAGTGTACATTTGTCTTTGTCTTCAGATCTTAAGACCCAAGGCCAAGAAGAGACCAAGTATTATGTGTCTGTATTGCCCAGAGGTTAGCCAAGTTTCAGGAACAGAACAAACATCAAAGTAATGCGTAAGTTACTGGGTAGAAGACGTCCTTGGTCAGGCTCCAGTCTCCACCTCAGTAACACACTGTTCCCATGGGAACACACAACTGCCTGCAGAATGAAGTTTCTAGGAATGCCTTTTGGGGACAAGAAAAAAAGCCTGCCGTGACCTAACATGCCTTACGATGGGGGTGAGGAGGAATGGCGTCTCTTACTAGCCTTAAGCTGCGTGATCTTCCCTGTCTTTACTTCCTGTCATGAATCAGCATGAAGGCACAATATCAAGGAAGTGAAGTGGGTTAGGTAACTAAACTCTTTGTCCACGATATATAAGTACACTTTGTGCCAACACACACACACAGATGTGCGCGCGCGCACACACGTGCAAATACACACACGTGCACTGGTAACCAAAATTTTATAATTCAGTCCAAAGCCATGACCAACCCAAAATATCCTTTTAAAAGTTTAGCTGTGTTTCTTAAACAAATACTTCTTAAATTATGATTTGTGTAACTAACAGAAACCCTTAAGGGAATACAGCACATCTAATTTTCTCTTTCTTGAGAGCTATTCAGTAAAGAATCAATAGCTGCAATGTAAATGTGACCTATACCAATACTAGAAGAAGGTCTTACCTCCAAATTAGTCACTGTACATAATTACTCAGTCTGAGCACATGGTCATGCCTAGCAAATGGACACCAGTAATAAAATCATGGCAGGAGCAGTACAGCGCAGGGGCCCCAGGCATGGCTTTGTAGCAGACCACCCGGCTTTGCATCCTGACTCTCCCACTGTGGTCTTGAACAACTTACCTATCCTACCTCTGCCTCACAGCCTACTGACGGTGATAACTCCTAGGCTGTTATCAGAAATAAAAGATAAACATATCTGAGGAGCCAAAAATGATATCTGCTACATTACAGGCATTCTTTAAGTATTAGATAGTCTTCTTTTTTTAAACCCATTATTCTTAAAAGTTATTATGGTCACAGAGAAATGTTTTATATCAAAATAGGAATTAAGAAGTATCTCGAAGCACATCTAACATTCAACTGCACATCAGGATTACTGAGTTTCATTCCTTTAATTTATCATTTTATTAGTTCCTTCTAACAAATATGAAGCCATTTTATATTTGTCTCACGAAGTCACAAAGTCATGGCTATCCCTGTAGAATTCTGCTTATATTAAACTGTAACTTTCATTCTAGTAATTACCCATTTTTCTTTTGTATTTCATTTTTATTGTGGTAATATCATCAGGCTAATTTTATACAAAATTCAGTATAAGCAGGAATTATGTCTGCAGCTTCTTTCCTTGTGCTATGAGATCAACATTCCAAACTACTTCAGTGTACTAGCTGC